TCACTTTAAAGTCCTCTAACTCTACACCCATCAATTTATATTTTCCTATTTATTTGCACTCAATCATATGAACTACATTCTCATTCATACAACCTCATGCGATTCTTTCCAATTGTTGACTGAGACAATACCAGCCCGGTTCTTACATGTTCTCACAACAAATTTTAACATCTGGACTGGCCAAATCAAGAAGTAGATGAAGTGCATGAACTTAAATCATCACAACTTCTTTCAACATTAAAGATCAATACTCTCCACAAATTCCATCCAAAACTTAATTACTTATTATTTTAAGAAGAAAAAGATAAAGAAAATTACTCAGAATCCATGGAGAAAACAAAACCACAGTTTAGTTTAAAAGAAGAAATCATTGTCAAACCAACAACAAGTCTCGATTAAAACCAAAAGTAGTCTAAAACAAAAAAAGATAAAAAACTTATCTCAAGTCCTCCACCAAACTTTTGAAGTTCCTTTGAATATATTCTCTTTTATGATCACTCAAAACAAATTAGCAAAAAGGATAAAGTAAATAAAAAGTTGTTCCTGAAAATCTCTCCGAACTAACTCTCCAGAAATGAACTTTTAAAACTTGCCAATATTTTCAGGACTCTTTTCTAAGTCCTCTCTTCTTTCTTTTATAGTTTTTCAAGATTCGATGTATTTTCCCAAGAGACGCATCCTTTCATGATAATTTTCGTCCATGGTGGTTACAACCACCTATTAAGCCAATGGGTACCTCAAAAACCTCTTCAAAATTCTTGAAAACCGATTTTACTCGTCTAGTAACTGCCACTGGAGCGTAAGCGCGGGATCTCAATGCTTAGGCGCGACCTTCTCTATTTAACCGGCGCTTAAGCGTCGAATCTGGCGCTCCGGCGCCAAAACTCTTTTGCACAATTTTTCACCTTTTTGCTCCAAATTTGATCATTTTTCAGTCCTTTAAGCATTTTTTTTCCATTTTTACTTGTATTTGCAAGAAAAACACAAAAATATCTTCCATTAAAGCGCAATATCTCAAAAATAGGTATAAAAATGTGTCTAATAGCATTATATATTTTAGGTGTATCACCTCCTCTCATGGAAAATCTAAGTTTTTTTCTTATGAAAATCTAAGGGGTGCCTTGGTATATCTTCAAAAATGTGTCTCTATTTAATGAATCTTCTAGAAGTTGTCTCCTCATAAGCCAGTTGAATGAATTTTTGTGTCCATGGTTGAATGAATTTTAATGAATTTTTGTGTCCATGGGCTATTTCCCATGTTTTATCAAGGGTTGTTTCAAACACCTCGTCAAAATTCCGCTCCAATTAATATTCTTCAAATAACTAACTTTGGAAATTTCTCTTCTCAAAATCTTTTTTAGTGACACATTAAGAATTCGCTCTAGTAGCTTCATCATATCCTGAAAAAATACCACTCGAGTTTTGGTTTTAGAATTTTGTACTGCCCGGTGACTTATATAATCAATTGTGAGTCACCACAGTTATTGATGTCAGTTATCACTATTAAAATGGTTAATTCCAGTCTAGTTATGAGGGCTTCATATTCTGCTTTGTTATTCGTACATGACTCTATTAGATGGTAGGAGTACTTTAACACTCCCCACTATGGGGTAATGAAGATTAATCTAATCCCTGCTTTTCCAGGCACTATCGTTTGCAAATCTTTGTCCTTTTGTGATGACAAATCTCCGTCAATGTACATCTTCCAGAATTGAGCACTGAGGTTTTCTAAATTCATTTTCTGCTCTTCTAGCAATTCGTCGTGGAGAGGAGACTCTGCTAGTGAAGGATGCGTTGAGAGAAAATCCGCTAAAACTTGCCCTTTCACATCCTGAAGAGGAACGAAGGTTATTTTAAACTGTAATAATATCATTAACCACCTGGCTAACCTACCAGAAAGCATTGATCTGGTCATCAAGTATTGCAGAGGCTTAAACTTTAAAATCAGGTTAACCTTGTTAAAAAGCATGTAATGCCTGAGCTTCTGGGCGGCAAAGATCAATGCCAAACAATGCTTCTCAATAGGAGGATACTTTACTTCCGTCAAAATCAGACGACGACTCAAGTAGTAGAGAGCATTTTTTTTACCCTCATCATTAACCTGGGCTAGCAGAGCTCCGAGGGAATCGTTTAAAGGTGCGGTGTAAAGTATCAACAGTCTACCTGAGACAGAGGCTGCTAAGACGAGAGGCAACATCAAATATTACTTGATGTTCTCAAAGACAAGTTGGCATTTATCATTACAAGCAAACTTGGCATCCTTCTTGACCAACATAGAGAAAGTCTAACACCTACCTAACCAATTAGAAATAAAGTGTTTGAGATACGCCAACCTCCTTGAAATGATCAGAATTGCTTTAAGCTTTTATAATGTGGAATTTCTAAGATGGCTTTAATAATTTCCGGATCAATTTTAATTCCGTAGTGACGGACAACAAACTCTAAAAATTTCCCAGAGGTAACACTGAAGGCATGCTTTAAGGGATTCAACTAAAGGTTGAATTGTCGTAGCTGCTCAAAAACAATTTTCAAATCATACAAATGATCGTCCTTCAATTTACTCTTAATGACCATGTCATCCACATTATATTCAACTTGATTATGGATGAGATTATCAAAGATCCTTGTCATCGCTCGTTGGTAAGTTGCAGCAGTGTTCTTCAACCCGAAAGACATTACTGTGTAACAATGCATTTTAATCGGTGTTCTGAAAGCTATGAGCTTCTCATCTTCTAGCGCCATCATAATCTGGTTGTATCTGAACGACCCATCCATAAAAGAGAAAATTTTGTGGGTTGATGTGATATCAACAATCAGCACTGGAATCAGTAGCAGAAATTCATCCTTTGGGCAGGCTTTATTCAAATTTATGAAGTCCATGCATACTCGAATCACACCATTCTTTTTTTTAACCGGCACCACATTGGCCAACCAGGTCAGGTACCTCTCTTCACAGACAAACTTATCGTCTATTAATTTTTTGACTTCTGCTATGACTTGTTACTCAATCTCTAGATGCATACTTCTAAGAGCTTGCCTGACTGGAACGACGACTTGATCCAATTCCAACTTATGAACTACAACCTCTGGAGCTAATCCGGGCATCCCTTCGTAACTCCAGACGAAACAATCCTTGAACTTCGTTAACAATTTGACTATATTTGCGGAGTCTTCTTCACTGAGCAAGGAGCTAACAAAGCTTGGTCTAGGCTCTTCTCTAGTCCCTAAGTTAACTTCTCTTATGTCATCAATTGTTGACTTAATCTATTCTTCAAATTCTGGTGGAACATCTTCAACTGGAGAATCTTCAAGGTCTTCTGAAGCTTCCTAGCAATCTTCATCAGGTTCATCAGCAACAACCAAGCAAAATTCTATATCATCCACTGACCCTATTGTGTCGAACCCAAGATCCTGTTTTGAACTGAAAGGTCAATTGGTATTACTCTATAATTTTTCAAAAAGGTGCAACTGGTCTTTTGACCACTGCTTAGGTACGACACCAAGTTGAATTAATCTTTGGACCCAAGGAGAATACCACTTAAAAGACAGTCCCATTAGTTGAAATGAAGCAATACCTTCTAGTTTTACATCATTTTTAGGGTTGGAAGAAGAAGCAACCCGGTAGAACTTAATTGGTTTGACATCGACATAATGTACTTCCTTGACCACGAGACCCTCAACCTTATTAGAAATGATCAGGGTCAAGGTCACAGCCTGTACATAATTGTTAATCTTGTCGTACATTGATTTGTATTCTTCATTCTTCCTATCTTCTAAAGAAATCTCGAACTGTGGCTTTTTCAGATTTATCATCATTACTTATTTCTTGATTTCTTCTTCCTCTAAACTATCTTCCTGATCAATGTTGATCACCGGATCCTTTCGTTCAACGATTATATAGTACATTATCGAGAAGTTAATAAAATAAGCTTCTAAGATGAGCATAAGCTATTTTAATGATCATGCTTAAAATGGAAGGTTATCTATCATCAGAAATATATAATAGAATCATAAAATGAATTAGTAATTATCTATGTTCTTTGGTCATCTATAGAAGCTAATATCCCATGCTCCGCCTATTTATTAATAGGCCATAACATTGATTACTTCTAAACTGAGGAAATAGAAGTCAAATAAGAATTCCTTGGGCAAATAATTTTAATAGAAGTTTCTTCAATATATTTGACCTTAAAGTTATTAAATTTATCGTAGGTTAAATATAAAACGGAAAAATCAATCAAGCATATATTATATATATCCTAAAATAAATTTTAAAAATTAATGCCGAAAATGTAAATAGAATGGTTAAACATAAGGCAAAGTGACCAAATGTTGTAAGAAATTACCCACAAAGAACAAGTTTAAAATTTTAAACAACTGCAATTAAACAAAAATAATTTATAAAACCGAATTAAAATAATTTGAGATTGGACCGCCATACACAAGGACACAAAATTAGTCAAGCTGCCAAAAGTAAGGCTCTATTTAGTGAATATTCCATATCTTATGATGCGTTTAGGGCAGCTTGTGTTATTCAGATAAACAACTTATCCTGAAACGCGGCCCGCGGGTGTCCTGCGGGGCGCGATCTGTGTTTAGTGTAAAAACTCAACCGCGTGGCATTTTGAAAACGCCAAAATGCCGCCCGTATTTATAAGTTGTCCCAAACGGGCCCTTAATCTAACTCGAGGTATCCAATGTTAATTTTCCCCATTTACATATCCCAAGTAAAAGTGTTATTTCTCCTAAACATACTAAAAAGGACATTATTTTCTGAATGATTACATAGGTCTCACACACTGGTATTTGGCGTTGTCACCCTGCTCATCCACACTTCTGTAACAGAATTTGGAGAGCAGGGAGGAGCGCCTTTTAACAGCCTATCATCCACCAATGAAGTATCATTGTAGCCACTGTTTTTAATTTCTCTCAAAATCTCAAGCACCTCATTAATGGAAGGCCTCAACTCTCCATCAGACTGCAAGCACTGAAACGCCAGCTCCGCCACCTGGGCAATCATCCTATTTATGCTGCGATCTGACTGATACCCCAATCTCAAATCCACAATCTCCTCTAATTCCTGCCTTTGGATCTTGTTAATCGCCATGTCAGCCAGAGAGAACTCATGCCTCAGTTGGGTGAAGTCAACAGCAGGCTTTGAGGAAACAAGCTCCATCAATACTACTCCAAAACTATAAACATCGCTCTTGTCCGTCAGCTGACAACATTGGTAGTACTCGGGATCGATGTAGCCTGGTGTTCCCTGCGGGGCGGTGGAGACATGTGTGGCGTTGCTCGGGAAGAACCTCGAGAGGCCAAAATCCGCAACCTTGACATGGAAGCTGTTGTCGAGGAGAATGTTGCTGGTTTTGATGTCACGGTGAATGATCTGCGGCTCAATGGAGTGAAGATAGTTGAGGGCTTCAGCCGTTTCGATAGCAATGTTCAATCTCGCTTTCCACGGCAGAAAAGATTGGAATGCCAGCCGGCCATGGAGGTGGTCGGCGTGCAGCCGTAGAGGCTGACAAGATTTTGGTGCTGAAGGAGTGATAGGATTTTAACCTCGTTCATGAAATGCTTGAGGTGGCCGTATTTGTTCTCATACAGACGCTTCACTGCCACCACTCGTCCATCCTGCAGCTTTCCTGTAATGCGAATAAGCAAGCATGGGATCAGGTCTGGATCAAATAGTTTGAGATGGCTGCTACAATGAGTTGTTACCTTTGTAGACTGCACCGAAGCTGCCATCACCAAGTTCGCCAGAGGCATCAAAGCCATTTGTGGCTTCATAGAGCTCCTCATAGGTAAAGATGGGAGACTGGATAGAGAAACAGAGCTCAGAGTCTGCTTTAGAAGATGGCTGAAAAGAAGTAATTCTTTTGAGGAGACTTGAGCAAGACTGCCTTCTCTTCCTGCATATATGCAGGACATAGAAAAGGAAGCACAGTATGGCCAAGCTCAATCCAGCTGCTGTGCTAAAACCTATTATAAGAAATTCCTTCAGATGATTGTTAGCTGCAACAGAGAAAAGAAATTAGATAACAGACAGTGAGGATAAAGGCGATTGAATTATTGCAGAAAAATCTTATTCAGGAAAGTTCATGCATGACAATGTTAAATTTACTTGTAGTTGTAAACAGAACTGTAATAACTTAGTGAAGACATCAGCTATAACAATCATCTGAAATCTAATGAGTTTAGAAGCAAGGAATGGGACAAATATATAGAAGATAAATGTTCTAAAATTTAATAAAGGAAAATTGGGTAATGAAGGTGAAATTAATAATATTAAATGATAAAATGTTAGTTACAAGAGAAAGTTTAAAAATATTCGATCATTTTTATTGAAGGACAGGGAAACGAATGAGAATATAATTTAAATGTGCCAGGAGTTCATTAAAACATCTCCAAGAATAATTTGAGAGAAGTGTAAATTCTGGGGACTTAAAATAAATTTTATGAATCAGTAATCAATTCAATTGGTTGTGTGTAATCTGAGTATTGGAGAGTAAAAAAAGTTATTAACAGCCAAATTAGGCGTGACAAAAAGCAAAATGATAATATGGATGTTTGGCAAAACTACGAAAAATGAACTAAGTAATGATTAAAATAAGAGGATGATTGGAGTATATTTATTCAAGATAAAGTGATGAATATACTTATGTGTTTGAAACATGCACAATGAAGGTCAATTTGAAGGATTAGGGATAGACGTTGAACAAAACATATTGCATATAATAGATTAATTTTCTCATGCAAGGCTCATTAGGAATAACTACAAACCTAGCATCCATAAAACCAGCTAATCATTGTTGTAAACCAACTTTGGGAGGAAAAATTCTTTGCTCACTTTCATTATTCACATATAAGGTACTTATATAAGGGAAACCGGTCCCTCCTAATTTATAATCTTATCAAATATATCTAATCTAAATATAAAAAGGAAATAATTCTGAAATAAACATAAAGAACATAAATAGAAAAAGAGTAAAGCTAATCAAGGAGTTTCCAAAGTTATCTTCTAATTCAATCCTCCAATATCTTGTAGGTGGTTGGTTGGTCGGTCCAACCTTCCTGAACTTCCACACACCCCCTTGAGTTGGGTCGTACATGTTGTAGAGACCATGCTTGGTATTGAGCTCTGAGAATGCTTAAAAGAAGAAATTTCGTAAAGACATTAGCAACCTATTGGTGTGTAGAGATGTAGCTTAGTTGTATAATTCCACCATTAACTTTTTGCAAAAAGTGCCCATCAACTTCAATACGTTTGGTCCCATCATGATGCACATGACTCTTAGCAATACTTATAGTTGTTTGACTGTCACAAAACATCTGTATAGGCCTAGTTGAGGTACACCCCAATTCGCTCAACAGTTTCTGAATTAAGAACCTTTCACAGATTCTTAAGGCAAGTGCTATATACTCTGATTTTACACAACTTCAACAACTCGTGCCTCAACAACCCGTGCCAGCCTCAACAACCAAAAGCTTAGATTTTTGTCCTCTCTACTCACATGTCCTTCTACCTATCTCTAGTTAAGCACCTAAACATGTATTAACACAACAAACATCTATTCATCAGTACACGGAAAGCAAATTCAAAGCAAAAACACAAACAGAACATAATCAAACACAAATCAAATCATAGGATAATACTTGTCTTGCCTCCTAAGTAGAGCTTGATTTAACATATTTTGTCAGACCATGCCAGATCTAATTGTTAGGACTACCCCAAGATCAAGTTTTCACTAGGACCTATTTTATCCCCACGCAAATACAGTTTTAACCTTTAGTCATTAACCTTCAAAGCTTTGGCAGTTTTCCTATTTTAAATGTCTACAGCTCCAGAGGGATACATTTTTATCATAGTGAATGGTCTTGACTACTAGGACATAAGTTTTTTGAGAAATAGTTTCAATCACAATTTTAAAGTAAAACCTCATCTCAGTACTCAAAGTAAAACCTTAATTTGAGTTTCATTAAGAGTTGTACTAGCACAATAGATTATTTTAAAAATCTTATCATATTTTTATCCTAAAACAACTCCAATAGCAAAATCATTTGCATCACATATTAGTTCAAAAAGTTTTTTCCAATCTGGTGAAACAATAATTGGTGCAGTGACTAATTTTTCTTTTAATAATTTAAAATCTTTAAGACACTCTTTATCAAAATTAAAAATTACATTTTTTTCAAGTAAATGACATTAAGGCTGAGCATATTTTTTAAAAGTCTTTAAAATACTGCCTGCAGAATCCAACATGTCCTAAAAACTCCTAATTTCCTTCACACATATTGGGTAAGATAAATTAGCGATCACTTGAATTTTTACAGGGTCTACTTCCATCCATTTGAAATCTGAAGTCCCAAAATAATTATTTTTGCTACTATAAATTGGCATTTTTCCCAATTAATGACCAAATTTGTTTGTTCACAACACTTAAGAACTTTTGATAAATATTCCGAACATGATTCAAATGAAGTTTCAAACGCTGAAAAATCATACATAAAAACTTCAATCCCTTTTTCAATTAAATCACAAAAAATAGCAATCATACATCTTTGATATATAGCAGAGACATTACATAAACCAAAAGACATTCTTCTAAAAGCAAATGTACCATAAGGACTGGTAAAAGTAGTTTTCTCTTGATCCTCGGGAGCTATTTGTATTTGGTGATAATCAGTATATCCATCCAGAAAATAAAAGTATTTATGCTCAGCTAGTCTGTCCAGCCTTTGATCTAGAAACGGTAGTGAAAAATGATTTTTCCTTGTGGTGAGATTTAATTTTCTATAATCAATGCATCTTCACCACCCTATAACTTATCTAGTGGGTATTAAATCACACTCATTATTCTCATTCATAGTCACAGTCACTCCTTAGTAACACAGAGAATCAGAATAAACCATGCACTATTTGAAATAGGGCAGATAATTCTAGCATTTAACCACTTTAAAATTTCTTTCTTAACAACTTCCTTCATAACAGGATTTCGAGGATCAGCCCTGGGTTTGTAGTTTTCTTCCATATGAATTCTATGCATACAAATTGAGGACTAACTCTTTTTATATCAGCAATTGTCCATCTAAAAGCTTTCTTATAACTCTTCAAAGTTTTCATTAAACTCTTTTCTTCTTTTGTAATCAATTTCGAGGAATTATAACAGGTAATGTTGAGGAATCACCTAAAAAGACATACTTCAAATGTTCAAGAAGTAACTTCAACTCAAGCTCAGGAGATTTTTCAATTGATGGACAAAAAAATTTATCTTTTTATGTCTTGTCCAAAACTTCAAAACTTTCTCGAATATAATTTGAATCTTCCTTCTAAAAATCTTCACATTGATCTAATTCTTCTTCTTGCTCATGTTTCAACTCTTTCATTTCAGATTTCTCTTGATAAGTTATTTTGAAATGACATTCATTCAGATATCTTATCATATCCTTTCTATAACATTCATCATCTTTACTTTTTGCAGGGTATTTCATTGATTTGGAAATATTAAATGTAACTGTCTGATCATCGACACACATAGTTAATTCTCCTTTCTGCACATCTATCATTGCTCTTCTTGTAGCTAGGAAAGACCTCCCAAAATGATAGGTATCTTCTTATCTTCCTCCATATCTAGCACAATGAAATCAACAGGAAAGATAAATTGATCCACTTTCACTAAGACATCTTCTATAACTCATTTAGGATAGGTTATTGAACGATATGCTAACTACAGGGTTACAGTAGTAGGGGACATTTCTCCTAATCTCAATCTTTTAAATATTGATAATAACATAAGGTTAATGCTTGCACATAAATTACATAAAACTTTCCCATAAAATGTCTCTTATTGCACATGAAATTATGAAGCTACCAGGATCTTTAAGCTTTCCCAGAAGCTTTGTCTAAAATATAACACTGCACTCCTCACTAAGTGCAAAAATCTCGTTATCTTCGAACTTCCTTTTTCTGTTAAGAATATTCTTCATAAATTTCACATAGTTTGGTATTTGTTTTAAGGCTTCAACAAATGAAATATTACTTGTAAATTTCTTAAAAAATTTTCAGAAATTTTGAAAATTGTTTATCCAACTTTTGTTGACGGAACATCTGAGGACATGGAGGTGGTGGTTTTTCCAAGTCAAGTTTAAGTGGAGAAATGGGTCTCTGTAAACCTTTCCATCTCTAAGCCATTCAGAGCATCATCTTCAGGCTCTTCAATTTCTTTTCTCTCTACTTCAGTTTCATTTTGAAATCTACCTTCTAATTCTTTTCCGCTTCTAAGTTAAACAGTTTTTAATTGCTCTTTATTCTGGTCTTTTGGATTTACTTCAGTATTACTAGGACGTGTTTCTTGGAATCTATTACTTAATGAATTTGCTATTCGTCCCAACTGATTCTCAATATTTCTAATTGTAGCTCATTGACTTTATAACTGATTTTCTATTTGTAACACCACTTTTTCTATAGACAACTTTTTCTTCTTAAATTATGGATTACTGTTAAAACCTGGAGGATAAGTAGGTCTATAATTACTATTTCCTTGGTTGTTCCAGTTTCCCAATGAGTTTACTTGGTTATTCCCCCATTCCTGATTATTAGCACCAGAATTATAATTCAAGTTAAAGTTATGAAGGTTCTTCCAACCTGGGTTATAATAGTTTGAATATAGATTATTTTGTTTGTTTATGACATTCAAAGTTTCTAGAGATGTTTGAGAATCTACCATTTAGCCTAGTGAATTGTCTTCAATCATTGCAATTGGTTGAGAAAAATTCATTCTAAATTGGTCTAACTTCTTTGAAATTGTAGCAACTTGATTTGCTAATATGGAAAAAACATTAGTTTCATGAATATTAGCTACTTTATTAAGATTTACACTTTCAAAGGCCATGAAAATTATTTGTAGTCATCTCTTCAATTAAAGCATAAGCGTCATGAAATGATTTTGACATCAATGAGACATCAATGAACCACCAGCAGCGGGACCGATAATAGATCTAAGAGATTCAGCTAA